CTGTCTAGCAAGACCTTAGGTCTAAAATACAGTCTTCTCTTGGTATTTGTTGGGAACTGGTTCTAGGACCTCCTTTGGGTATCCAAATCCACAGATGCTCAAGTGTCTGGAATAAAATGATGTAGTATTTGCATACGATCTACACAAATCCTCCCATATACTTTAATCTTTAGATTACATATAATACCTGTTATAATGTAAATGCTATGTAAATAGTTACACTGTTGTTTAAGGAATAACAAAAATACACATGTTCATTACAGACACGATGTTTTTTAGAGTATTTTCTATCTGTCGTTGTTTGAACTCAGAATCCGTGGATGTGGAGGACCGATTGTATATAGAACTTTAGACCAAGAATGTACTTTACAATTTCAAAGAAGCACTTAAAAATAAGATTAAATACAAACCAATAGATAAAAGTCACAGGTGCTATGGTTTTACGGAGAATGGGGAAGGAAATCTGCTATCCTACAAGACGACATAAACAGTGACCTAAGTGGAACTAAATGGGATCATGGAAATGATAGGAATTGGCTTTTATTTTTCTATTGAATGGTTCAGGAACCTTTCTTTTGGCTACTCTAGCCACATCTTTTTTGTTAATTGCAGTAGCAATACGACCTTATCTAGCAAAGCTGGCCAAAAAAAGAAAACGTTGTAATAGGGTACCTAATCTATTGCTTTAAGAAAAACGTAATATTTCATTTGAGTAAGTACTTTTGGGCTGGGATGATATTTCATTTAGCTACTTGGCATGTCACTTATCTTAGGGAATTATATGAGGGTTTATGTTCTAAATAACAAAAAGCAAAACATGCTGACTGTAATAATTTGAGAGAAGTGTAAATAATAAAAATCTGTAATCTACCACCTGGACTGGAAATACGTTTTTTTAACCATACACTCACCCCTGCACAAGTCTCCATTTTATCATGGAAATTAAGTCTATTCCTAGAGTTGGCTTTGTGGTACTAATTGGGTAACTTCCCATTAGCTGCCATACTGGGAGCTGGACTAGAATTTTTCCTGTTAAGTATGGAACCCAACATTGAGAGTTTGGGTTTCCCCGCCCTTCCCAGTTTCATCTTTGCCACCGTCAAGCTGATCTCATTTTATGTCTTGTGTGGCATGGTTGTGTAGCACTGTTAAATGTATGAATGTAGATTTGATACTAAGCTGAGCCTCTACTACTGAATTGATCACAGGATCTCCACCTCCCCCCATTTCTGGTGGATTGTAGAAGCATATAGTAACTGTCTGAATGTTTAGACTAAGTTTCTTTTAGTAGATAATTTTATAGTGCTCATTAAGGAACTTTAATATTTCTGCCAATCACCTGTATCAATGGGACAGAATGTCTTAGAAATTAGAAAATATTAACCCCCCGTTACCACTTAGAATAGCATTATTTCCTTTAAAGAAAAAGAAAAAAAGGACTCCTGATCCATTCTTACCATATGACTGCTTTGAAATAGTTCCATGATCTAGATTAGTGGATCTCGATAGTTAGTTTTATTATAACCTAATGTCTTTACAGTCTTTGGGCTTAAGATCAAGAGTACGTATCAGATCTGGCAAAGGCAGCTTAGATGTGATAGGTTGGTTGCACTGGATTGAACTTGGTGCTGTTTCTCTTAGGTTTTAGCAGGACGCATTGGGAATGAGCAAGTAGGGCCAAGTTTTGTAACTCGTCTTTTTTTCTTCTTCCTCTTCTAAAACAGTAAATATTTTGGCCTTTGTGGGCCATAGGTCTGTCTCAGCGACTCAGTTCCGCCATTGTAGTGAGAAAGCAACCATAGACGATTTGTAAACAAATGGCCATAGTATTTTTTTTTTTAATCCACCTAAAACATTAAAACAATTTTAAACTTGTAGGCCATACAAACAGGCAGTGGGGTGGGATTTGGCCTGTAGGTTGTAGTTCTCTGCCCTGCTCTTTTGGCACTCACTGCTCATGTCAATTTCCCAAAACACTTTAAAAACCATATAGGCTTTTAAAAACAAAATCTAAAATCTGTACAAGCTCATGTTCAGTGACAAAGCTTTTTCAGGGTATGCAAATGTGCATGAAACCAGTAATTCTGTCTAGTGTCCTGCCTTTTCCAGTCACTTCAAAGGACTCTCCCTGTGACAGGGTATCTCTTTGGTAACCACAAAGTATCCATTAAATAGATTGCCACCACATAATCCCATTTGAATATTAAATTGGTACCAGTTTCATAAATCCTACAACACACATATCTGACCATATTTTGGTTGTGCAACATGTGTATTTGTTGACTAGATTCCCAGAAGTGGAACTGTTGGGTGAAAGGGTATGTATGCAAATGTGATAAATACTACTCAATAGCTCTTCGACAGGCTGTATCAGTTTCCACACTCAGGTCCTTAACAGACTGTCATTTCTAAGGACTATAATATTCCACTATATGGATATATTACAAGTTAACCATGATCTCTTTGCTACTGAGCATTTTATTTCCATGGCTTTTCACTCTAGTGCCTTGTCTTGGTATATAAATCTTTGTTCACATTCCTGTAGATAGGTTGAATTCCTAGTAGATTTACTTGGTCAATAGGCATGTTTCTTAAGGTTGATAAATAATGATGGCCAAAAGAAGGAATTTCACTAAGGAATGAATTTGAGGAAAAGTTGAGAAAAGCAGGAAAATTTACTTTTATTGTCTGATACTGATCAGCATCAGGAGGGTGGTGTCTACATATTTGGAGATGTTAAGTGTTAAAAATGCATTAATAATATTAGATATAATAGTTTGTTGAAATCATATCAAGGTGGAAGAATGAAAAAATTTCGGGCTAGAATACATTGAACCTTTGAGTAAAGTTTAGGTTTTCGCTATAATAATGTCTTACGAAGATAGACCTTATTTAGCCAGTGGCACCAGTCAGGAAAGTATTAAAGTAGCACCAGAGATACATAACTTTTCATCCTTTGTCCTAGAGCTCCATAAAATGTTGTTGTGCTTTTGGTGGGGGAAATTACATCTTTATTTTTCAAGACATAGTCTTGCACTGTTGCCCAGGCTGGAGTGCAGTGGCACGATCTCAGCTCACTGCAACCTTCACCTCCTGGGTTCTAGCAATTCTCCTGCCTCAGCCTCCTGAGTAGCTGGGATTACAGGCCACGTGCCCCCACACCCGGTTAATTTTTGTATTTTTAGTAGAAATGGGTTTTCACCATGTTGGCCAGGCTGGCCTTGAACTCCTGACCTTGTGATCCACCCGGCTTGGCCCCTCCCAAAATGCTGGGATTACAGGTGTGAGCCACCACGCCCAGCTGGAAAGCTCATCTTTAAATAAAATTGCATTGCTTTTGAAGATGGTACAAGTCTATACATAAAAAAGCTGTAGGCCGGGCGCAGTGGCTCATGCCTGTAATCCCAGCACTTTGGAAGGCCGAGGCGGGCGGATCACGAGGTCAAGAGATGGAGACCATCCTGGTCAACATGGTGAAACCCCGTCTCTACTAAAAATACAAAAATTAGCTGGGCGTGGTGGCGCATGCCTGTAGTCCCAGCTCGGGAGGCTGAGGCAGAAGAATTGCTTGAACCCAGGAGGCGGAGGTTGCGGTGAGCCGAGATCGCGCCATTGCACTCCAGCCTGGCTAACGAGCGAAACTCCGTCTCAAAAAAAAAAAAAAAAAAAGCTGTAAAACCTTGAACAATACTGAAGGATGTAAAAACACCAAGACAGGCCAGGCACAGTGGCTCATGCCTCTAATCCCAGCACTTTGGGAGGCCGAGGTGGGTGGATCACCAGGTCAGGAGTTCGAGACCAGCCTGACCAATATGGTGAAAGCCTCTCTCTACTAAAAATACAAAAAAATTAGCCAAGCGTGGTGGCAGGCACCTGTAATCCCAGCTACTCAGGAGGCTAAGGCCGGAGAATCACTTTAACCCAGGAGGCAGAGTTTGCACTGAGCTGAGATCACACCACTGCACTCCAGCCCGGGCGACAATGTGAGACTCTATCTCAAAAAAAAAAAAAAAAAAAAAAACCACACCAAGATAAATCACTTATCTCTACCCCACTAGAATATAAGCTCTTTGAGATTAGAAACTTGTGCTCTTACCACAAATACTAGGCATAAAGAAGATGCTTGTTATTAAGTAGCAAATGCTTCAGATCTGTAAGCCAGAGGAGATTGCTCATGTCAGCAATTCTAGCACTTTGAGAAGGCTGAGGCTGGAGCATTGCTTAAGCCTGGGAGTTTGACACCAGTCTGGGCAACATAGCAAGATCCCATCTCTACCCCCAAAAAATTACACTCCTGTAGAGAATTCTTTATACTCCAATGTGAAGACAATATTAGAAAGGGTCAACTTTCTCATCCCCTCCAACTAACAAATGAAATGACACTTGAACAGGGCTTTTACGTAAGGAATCTAGAGTTGGGTCTTGGCTAACAGTATGTTTTAGGAAATGGCAGGATGGGGCAGGTGGTGCCTTAGCCAGTTATGCTTTTAAATGGAACTGAATAATAAGAACTCATTCATTGAAATAATGACACAACTCCATAGCGGTGTGGAGAACAGCAATAAAGCCACTACATACTATACACCTTTAGACGGGCAAGAATAAGATGGAAAATATCCATCAGGAGAATACTGACATCTTAGTGGTAAGCAGTTCCTTTTAATCCAGTAATTCCACTAGTAAGGCTCATACAAATGTACTGCTAGGAAGAGATAATGTATATGATCATCGATGAGAGAACAGTAAAGGTGTTACTGTGGAATTCCAGACAGGCTTTCACTTGGAGGGGGAATATGGTTAGGTTGAGTGTTTGAACACAGTTTAAACCACCCATGGTGAGCACGTAACGTACTATGCACTGAAAGGTGTAAGTTTCTCCTGGGCGTTTATACATTTCAAAGTTAAAAGCAGACACCTTACCCAAAGTTTCAGAAAGCTGGTTTGCAAATCTGTTTGAGTTCTTTTTTTTTTTTTTTTTTAAAGGCCATGACCATTTTTTTCATTTTTATTTGATGTTTCCAAATATAAAAAAGTCAAGATTCTTACACCAAGTATCTCAAATGAGACCATGCAAAGCAATTCAGTGTATACAACAATCATTTTCCCCTTTAGTTCTGCTGCATCATACATAAAACAGTGTGATTGACAGAAAATTGGATGGCATGTGCCTGGTTGGAAATGTCATCTGTTTAGAAAATAACATCATGCAGGACAGTTTGTCTGCAAGTCAATTCACAAAAACTTCTTTTCTGTTTTTTGTTTGGGAGGCACATGGAACTGAAAAATTGAGCTGCCCAATTTTATTCAACTACCCCACCAAAAAGGAAAAAAAAAAAAATCACAAATGACAGTCCCAACACTCTGCAAACTTTGGAGGATTGAGATAGTAGATACTATTTGTTATATTCAGTAGAGTTAACTATTTAACAGAAATAAATGTTCCTAGGGCCTTTCCTCTAATTTTGCTAGACTGGGTTCCAGAAGAATTGTGAAAAACCCCTCGTGTAAAATTTAAAGTGTGAAAATTGTATTGTTGCATTATGCAGATTTTTGCTAGTTGCATAGACTAAAGACGGTTTGCTAAATGGCACTGAAAATCCTGACTGTCACTATTTAGTCCAAATGTTTCTGACCACAGAAAATTATACAACAATATTTATAGGCTAACTTTAAAGAGATGGCTGACATTAATACTGTACATATTTTACATGTCAAATACATAGTCCAAGAGTTTATAAAATAAGTTCATGCATTATTACCTTATTACCTCTAAGAATATCATGTACAAGATATGCACGCCCCCACCCCCCATTACTTATGACAGCATTTCAGGTGGAAGCAGTCTAATATACAAAAACAATCCAGTTTCTCTGCTATGTTAAGTAAAGGAAATTTCAGAGATTACTGACCAAAAAAATCTTAGTCCAGAGAAGATAGAAAGTATCAATTTGTGGGATTTAAAATGTTTCCTTTATAAAAGAACACCCAGAATATGTAACCTCTACATAAAGAAAAAATATAAAAATTCTGGATGATCATGTTTGATCACACTATGTACTTTAGAATGAAATGTCGCTGGTTAAAAGTTTTTCTGCTTTACTCATTCCTTTGACAGCATTAATTTGTGAACATTTATATTTAGTTTAGCTGTATTTATGGCACAAGATCTCATTTTCAGAACGGCACCAATTTTCCTGAAGTGTAACAGCGCTCTATTTTTAGCAGTGATTATATTTTTAAAGGTTAATTTGTACAACAAATGTTTTAACTATACTTTTTTCTACTCTATATTCAGTTACAATATTTACAAAGAACTGAAGTCTATATAAAAAAATGATCTTCTACTTTCCCCCACCCCTCATCTTAGTCAAGCTTCTCCCACCTCATTTCTACCCTGGTTGGGGAAGTGCAGAGTTTCACGTAAGGTACCTACCGATGTATTTTAGATGGGATTCTTGATTTTAAGTGAGTATAAAGTAAAAGATTTAATTCTTAGTTCAGATATGTTCTAGTGCCTCGAAGTTATGTGACAAATAGTTACCTGTTGACAACCTAGAAAAGATGAGACATTCTAAGGTGCCCTAACAATCTTCAGTCTCTAACAGCTGAACAGGAAGGCCATTTTACTCAACGGTGATATAATAAATCACTGACTGGCATTTAAAATTAGCTTTCAAGACTACACTCCTATGGGGGGCCACTAGATTAAATAACTGAGAATACATTTTAAGAGCAATTAACATTGAAGGAAATATGGTTCTAAGATACTCGGTGTAAAAAGAGAGTATCGATAATGGGAACTGGCAACAGAGCATGCTAAATCAAATTCCATGAATACAATTTTCATGATGTCTTTACTACATGCATTTTGCTAATATTTCCCTAAAATATTCACCAACTCTATAGAGTTATACTTTGTGTTAAGGTACTACTGAGTTTTAAGGGAAAAAGCCATATCAGATAGCTAGTGACATAATACCAGTTGTGAAAATTCAGACAAATGAAGTTGACAAATCCCTAAAAATGGCAAATTAAGCCCTTTGACAAAATAATTACTGGCTCATACAGAAGTAGGCCAAATCTGGAAAATCTGAATTAAAATTGTAATCCTATAAAGAAGTTTTGGGGTGAATGGATTTCTTTAATACCAATAGTATTTTTCATTGCCACGACAGATGGATTTGCTGAATATGCTAATGCTGTGAATGAGAAAACAATTTTGGGGGAAGTATACCCATAAGTAATCTGTTGACAAAACAAACCACAGACTGATGTCAAATGGACAAAAACCTGAAAATATGCTGTGAGAAATAGACAACCAAAATAATACCGGGGGTTGTGGGGTGTGGCACAGTTAAGGCATCTAAAAAAAATTCCACATGGCTTTGGCTTATTAAAATATTTTACACTATTTTTTAAAAAAGATTTGAAAGCATCTGAAAAGCATGCAAATTGTTTGAAAACCTTGCATGGCAAATTCAGACAGTTTGCAAGCATCATTCAGATGTCCGACGAGGAAAAGAAAGAAGCCTCTCCCTATGAGACTGCACATGGTGGGAGAGGCCTTCCCAGTTCTCTCTATCTTACACTAGATGGCAACCCAGAGGTCTGTGCCGTGGTTACAAACAAGGCATTATTATCTGGAAGGGAAGGGACCGTGGAATTTCCATTGGCTGGGGAACAACCCAGCTTTAGCTTTTCCAGATACTCTGCATGTACAGGTTTATGACACTGGAGAACTTTGATTGCATCTTCTACTTTGAACCACTCTCTCTTCCTTCCTAGAGAAAAAAATGATATTGGTTACTATACAATAGTCCATTTAAAAAAGTAAGTCATATCCTATAAGTAATGTCCACTTACTCCCTGACAAATGGCTGAGACAACAACATGTTGGGGAAGAATTAAGATGAATATGCATCTCTACATCTGAATTATTTTCCCTGCTCTAAATGAAAAGTGACCAGAAATAATCTAAGATGGAAACCGGACACAGGAATACAGCATCTGACTTAAAAGAGTATTCAGGTAACAAAATGGAACTTACCTATATTAACAGAATCCTCCCAGTCTTCTAATATTTCAGTGACTGTTAGAACATAAACATATGTTCTGTGCTTTCGGTCTTGGTTCTGCTTGAATATAAAGAGAAATGCATTTTAATCTATAGGAACTAGCCCTGGACACATTTTCCAAGGGAAAAAAATTAGTCTGGCATACTGCTGATTAGCGTAACAATTTCCCAGCATAGACAAGTATATTCAGTTGTATAGTCCAGCACAAAAGTGATTTTATATATAAGACAAAAGATTTAAAAATTAAAAAGACCAGAACTACGGCGTCATCACTACTGGTGGTGAAACTGGCTCTCAATACTACCTTTTCTTTGCAGAAGTGTAGAGATGTGGCCCAGACTGGTCTCAAACTCCCGCCCTCAAGGGAAATTCCTGCTTTGGCCTTCCCCAAAACTGAGCTTACAGGCATGAGTACCCAGCCTCCAGTACTAAACTTCTCTGATTTCTGTATATCTGATGTTACTTTCATAAAGAAAATCTTAAGAGTTGAATGGACTCTTATCAAATAGTAGACCTGCATTCCCATAGTTTTTGTCCTATTCCCTCTTCCCTGGGGCCAATCCTGACAACCTTTCAATGCCATGGAAAACTGCTTCCTTCAGGACCTTTGTAAGAGCAAAAAGAACCAGTTCCTTTAAGCACTCCTCCTACAGGCTTATCAAGGTGCGCTAAAAGAACAGCCCAAGGCCCAGTGTGGTAGCTCATGCCTATAATCCTAGTACTTCGGGAGGCTAAGGCGGGCAGATCACTTGAGGTCAGTAGTTTGAGCCCAGCCTGGCCAACATGGTGAAACCCCGTCTCTACTAAAAATACGAAAATATTAGCCGGGCATGGTGGCACACTGCCAGCTACTTGGGAGGCTGAAGTGGAAGGATCGCTTGAGCCCAGGAGGCAGACATGGCAGTGAGCCCAGATCATGCCACTGCAATCGGCCTGGATGACAGAAGCGATACCATATCTCAAAAATAATAATAATAATAAAACAGGCCACTGAGCTTGTATCTAGGTTAAAAATTAAACAAGCTGGCCTTCCTTCATCCTAATTAAAGTCAGCCTTTTTGCCATAATCTATGACTTTAGATAACTGTCCTGATATCATGGCCACAAGCTGAATAATCCATTCAAAACAGTGGATTTTTGTATCTGGGAAGAATTATATATATATAAATTTTTTTTTTTTTTTTTTTTTTTTTGAGACGGAGTTACACTCTTGTTACCCAGACTGGAGTGCAATGGCGCAATCTCGGCTCACCGTAACCTCCGCCTCCTGGGTTCAAGCAATTCTCCTGCCTCAGCCTCCTGAGTAGCTGGGATTACAGGCATGCGCCACCATGCCCAGCTAATTTTTTGTATTTTTAGTAGAGACGGGGTTTCACCATGTTGACCAGGATGGTCTCGATCTCTTGACCTTGTGATCCACCCGCCTTGGCCTCCCAAAGTGCTGGGATTACAGGCTTGAGCCACCGCGCCCGGCCCAGAATTATATTTTTATATCTGAGAAGGAATAAGAACAACAATAAATTAGAGGCAATTGTCACTTTTACACATCTTTCATTATTATTTTTGAAATGGAGTCCAGGCTGGACTGCAGTGGCGTGCTCTCTGCTCACTGCATCCTCTAATTCCCCACCCCCAGGGTTCAAGTGATCCTCCTTCTTCAGCCTCCCAAGTAGCTGGGATTACAGGTGTGCACCATCACACCAAGTTAATTTTTGTATTTTTAACAGAGATGGGGTTTCACCACATTGGCTAGGCTGGTCTTGAACTCCTGACCTCAGGTGATCCACCCACCTTGGCCTCCCAAAGTGCTAGGATTACAAGCGTGAGCCACCATACCCAGCCTGGTTGTCTTATTTCTATGTCTGATAAATATTTATCATGCTATATTCACAAATTCATTAAAATCACTAGGATAAATGGGCAGGGCAATCCAATTTTCCCTTATATTTTCTAAGGGGACAGGTATTTTTTTATTGACATATCCTGTTAAACAGTATTTGTAAAGCACTTAATACTGTTTACTTTCCCATATTATTTAAGCTTTAATTTATAATGTGAGATGTTTTCTTCAAAAACCTTGTCAGTGAGGCAGGGTGTGGTGGCTCATGCCTGTAATCCCAGCATTTTTGGAGGCCAAGGTGGGCAGATCACCTGAGATCAGGAGTTCAAGATGAGCCTGGCCAACATGGTGAAATCACATCTCTACTAAAAATATGAAATTAGCTGGGCATAGTAGTGCATTCCTGTAATCCCAGCTACTTGGTAGGCTGAGGCAGGAGAATCACTTGAACCCAGGAGGCACAAGTTGCAGTGAGCTGAGATCACACCATTGCACTCCAGCATAGGTAGTAAGAGTGAAACTCCGTAGCAAAACAACAAAAAACAAGGCCGGGCGCGGTGGCTCAAGCCTGTAATCCCAGCACTTTGGGAGGCCAAGGCGGGGTGGATCACGAGGTCAAGAGATCAAGACCATCCTGGTCAACATGGTGAAACCCCGTCTCTACTAAAAATACTAAAAATTAGCTGGGCATGGTGGCACGTGCCTGTAAATCCCAGCTACTCAGGAGGCTGAGGCAGGAGAATTGCCTGAACCCAGGAGGCGGAGGTTGTGGTGAGCCGAGATCGCGCCATTGCACTCCAGCCTGGGTAACGAGAGCGAAACTCCGTCTCAAAAAAAAAAAGAAAAGAAAAAAAAAAACAACAAAAAACAAAAAACCTTGTCAGCGTATGACAAAGTCTTATTTGTAAAAACCTCAATATGTTTTACAGTTTAACCAGGAGATGGTGCTATTTAATCGATTGAAGCAACTGCTGAATTCTGGAAAATACTTAATTCTACCTGAACAACTGACTTTACTCTTAATAATTACTGCATTCCAGTAAAATTCATCATCAAGTCTATGAAGTGAAATCCTGATTTCAGCAAAATCAGGATTTTTTTCTGAATTCCTAAGGCTTAAAAATAAAATTTATATGGTTCTACTATAAAGACAAAACTAACCTATAAATAGTTCCCTGAAAGAGGGAAAGTGACCATGTTTCTGGTATACTGTGTATCTAGTTCTGAATCTTGGAAGAAAATACATCTGACTCCCTCTCTCCCTGCCTTCCAGAGAGTGCCTATCCCTGAAAATTCTATTCTGCCCCCACTAATAAGAGAATATATGAAAGAGAATTCTATTCTTTCGGCATGTTCTACGTACCTGAGAGATATATCCTTTAAGTCATTATGTATATAATATTATTTGCTAAGGAGGATGGGGACATTTCCAGATACAATACATGAGACCTAAGCACTTAAGTAATACTAAAAATACCATACCTCCTAAAAAATCTTCACCCTAAACAGTTTACAGAGGACAAAGAGAAACATTTCAGTATTGGCTGCACTGTATTGTCAAACAGAAGTAATCACTACCATAATGCTGTATAAAAGTGATGGCAGCCAGGCGCTGTGGCTCACACCGAAATCCCAGCACTTTGGGAGGCGGGGGGATCATGAGGTCAAGAGATCGAGATCATCCTGACCATCATGGTGATACTCCCATCTACTAACAATACAAAAATCAGCTGGGTATGGTAGTGCGCGCCTTAAGGTCCCAGCTACTTGGGAGGCTGAGGCAGGAGAATTGCTTGAACCCAGGAGGCAGAGGTTACAGTGAGCCGAGATCGCACCACTGCACTCCAGCCTGGGGGATGGAGTGAGACTCTATCTCAAAAAATAAATAAATAAATAAAAGTGATGGCATATGAAAAAGTGGCTTCTACTTCCCTCCCTACCTAATCCTGGACTTATTATCTACGGCTAGTCTGAGGAAATGTCTAGTTCAGGCTGTTGCCAGATTATTTGGCTGGTTAGGAGATCATTAATTCTATTATCAGCAACTCACCTCAAACACGCCCAGAAGTCTGCCCAATTTTCCTTTGACTCCAGCCTATTAAAAAAAGATGATATGTAAAATGTTAAACTTTTTATAACAAAATGTATACAATATATACGTGTTATACTCTAGCTATTTACTTAAATCTAAATACAATATCCCTCCCCATACCAAGTCACTATCTGCTTGCTTCTGTGAAGTTTTTATTGTCATTTACTTCATAAGTAGCAAGAACTGATCAAAAATTAGAATTTCTGGCTGGGCACTATGGCTCATGCTATAATCCCAGCACTTTGGGAGGCCAAAATGGGTAGATCACTTGAGGTCAGGAGTTCGAGACCAGCCTGGCCAAATGATGAAATCCTGTTCCTATTAAAAATGCAAAAATTAAGGCCGGGCGTGGTGACTTATACCTGTAATCCCAGCACTTTGGGAGGCCCAGGCAGGTGTTATCACCTGAGGTCAGGAGTTCACGACCAGTCTGGCCAACATGGCGAAACCTCATGTCTGCTAAAAATACAAAAATTAGCCAGATGCAGTGGCACGCCCCTGTAGTCCCACTGCACTCCAGCCTGGGTGGCAGAGCGAGACTCCATCTCAAAAAAAAAAAAAAGTTAAAAATAAAGTTGCGCCAGGCCCAGTGGCTCAAGCCTGTAATCCCAGCACTTTGGGAGGCCAAGGCGGGTGGATCACGAGGTCGAGAGATCGAGACCATCCTGGTCAACATGGTGAAATCCCGTCTCTACTAAAAATACAAAAAAATTAGCTGGGCATGGTGGCGCATGCCTGTAATCTCAGCTACTCAGGAGGCTGAGGCAGAATTGCCTGAAGCCAGGAGGCAGAGGTTGCGGTGAGCCGAGATCGCGCCATTGCACTCCAGCCTGGGTAACAAGAGCGAAACTCCGTCTCAAAAAAAAAAAAAAAATTAAAAAAAAATAAAGTTGCATCAGGCAACAGAAAGCACTCCTGGACCTGTCTCCTTGTCTTAACGTTACATAGCAAAGGGCCTTGTTTCTAAAACTCCAAAACAGAATTTGTGTGAAAGAACATCTCACCTCCTCATAAACTTCCCTCACGGCAGCACCACCAGGTTCCTCCTCAGGCTCCATTCCTCCTCCTGGGACAATCCACTGGTCTGGGTACCGGCTGCTACTCACCAGCAGCACCTGTAAGGTGAACCGTAACTGTATACTTCCAGCCTGAGAAGCACTTTGTACATGAACAACATTCTCAAAGCTCTGCAAGGTTGTAACTCTATTCTAGAATAATCCATTTTAAACTTTCATTATAATTATTAGGGGTATGCATTATACCACAAAAATGCAACTGACAACCTTTGTTAAACACCATCTTTCTGAAATCAGAATTCAACATTAACATGGTCATGCTGGGCACAGTGGTGTGTGCCTGTAGTCCCAGCTACTCTGGAGGCTGAAATGGGAGGATCACTTGAGCCCAGGAGTTCTAGGCTGTAGTGCGCTATGCCAATCGGGTGTCTGCACTCAGTTCGGCATCAATATGGTGACCTCCCGGGCAAGGTGGCTCACACCTGTAATCCCAGCACTTTGGGAGGCTGAAGTGGGCAGATCACCTGAGGTCAGGAGTTTGAGACCAGCCTGGCCAACATGATGAAAACCCATCTCTACCAAAAATACAGAAAAGTAGATGGGTATGGTGGCGGGCACCAGTAATCCCAGCTATTTAGGAGGCTGAGGCAGGAGAATCACTTGAACCTGGGTGGCAGAGGTTGCAGTGAGCTGAGACTGCGTCGCTACACTCCAGTTTGGGCAACAAAGCTAGACTCTATCTCAAAAAAAAAAAAAAAAAAACAAAGCAAAACCTGTGGGCTAGCTTAGGTTGAACTTCACTAAGTTAAAATCAGCTTGAGATGGGCGTGGTGGCTCACACCTATAATCCCAGCACTTTGGGAGGAAGAAGTGGGCGGATCTAGGACAAGAGTTCAAGACCAGCCCGGCCAACATGGTGAAACCCCATCACTACTAAAAATACAACAATCAGCTGGATGTGGTGGCTCATTCCTGTAGTCCAAGCTACTCAGGAGGCTGAGGCATGAGAATCACTTGAACTCAGTACATGAAGATTGCAGTGAGCCAAGATTGTGCCACCGCACTCCAACCTGGGTTACAGAGTGGCTCAAAAATATAAAAAATAAAAATAAACCAATTTGAACAAAGTGTCCACAAAATTATCTTAGTATACTGCCTTCAAGGAAATGTTTCTTTTTTTTTTTCGAGATGGGGTTTCTCCATGTTGGCCAGGCTGGTCTCAAACTCCTGACCTCAGGTGATCCGCCCACCTTGGCCTCCCAAAGTGTTGGGATTACAGGCGTGAGCCACCACACCCGGCATGCCTTCAAGGAAATTTAAACAGTTCTCCCTGGAAAACACATAGGATTTATCATGAAGTTTAATTCCCAGTGTGGAAAGAGATGATGATGATGATGATGATGATGATGAGGAGGAGGAGGAGGAGGAGGAGGAGGAGGAGGAGGAGGAGGAGGAGGAGGAGGAGGAGGAGGAGACAGGGTCTCACTAGGACATCCAGGTTGGAGTGCAATGGTACAATCTCTGCTGACTGCAGCCTTCACTTCCCGGGCTCACGTGATCCTCTCACTCCAACTTCTCAAGCAGCTGGGACTATAGGCACCCACCACCATGACTGGCTAATTTTGTACTTTTTGTTGTTGCTGTTTTTTTGAGATGAAGTTTCATCCTGTCACCCAAGTAAGAGCCATGACCTTATCTGCCCTGCTCCCTCCCTCCTGGCAGGAGCGGCTGGTCTTTAAGAGAGGAGTCCTCTCCTATTTGCCATAAGTTGCCAGGAACTCAAATTTTCCTAACTGAAAAGTTTCAAGCTGACAATAGTTTAGCAATTCCCACGTTTCTCTCAAGCCCCCAAAATGCTGAGTTTAAAGAGACTATCTATTTAGGCACAGAACCTCCTCATTAGAAAAGCAGCACTCCAGGCCGGGCATGGTGGCTCACGCCTATAATCTCAGCACTTTGGGAGGCCAAGATGGGCAGATTGCTTGAACTAATAAGGAGTTTGAAGCCATCCAGCCTGGGCAACATGGCAAAACCCCCTCTACAAAAAAAACACAAAAATTAGCCATGCATGGTGACTTGTGCCTGTAATCCTAACTACTCAGGAGACTGTGGTGGAAAGGATCACCTGAGCCCAGGAGGTCGAAGCTGCAGTGACCTGTGATCACGCCACTGCACTCCAGCCTGGGCAACAGGGTAAGACTATCTCAAAAAAAAAAAAAAAAAAAAAAAAGTGGGCTAATAGATTATCAAATTACACGCAGATGAGACTATTATAGAAAATTAGAAAAGGAAAATTAAAAATGCAAAAGAGCATGCAAGGGTCTCTAAGTTCAGTCTACTTTAAACAGAGAAACTACAAACCAGATTCCAAAACCTTTGTATTTTATTCAAAATTGGAGGCATACTGAGGATCTATGGCAGGCGTCCCCAAACTTTTTACACAGGGGGCCAGTTCACTGTCCCTCAGACCGTTGGAGGGCCACCACATACTGTGCTCCTCTCACTGACCACCAATGAAAGAGGTGCTCCTTCCTGAAGTGCGGCGGGGGGGCGGATAAATGGCCTCAGGGGGCTGAATGTGGCCGGCGGCCGTAGTTTGGGGATGCCTGATCTATGGCAATCAAAGGCATTGACCCTCTATCAAGACTGGAAAGTGAATGGAAGTTTTTAAGTTCAATAAAAATGTTAACGGTTTGTCTTGCATCACTGTAAAAGTAAACAGCAACTACTGGTCCAGACTGCAGAGTCAGAGGCCTCTTTTACTGGTCACTAGGTATGGGTTAGGGATAAACTGGTTTCTACTGCTTAGATGAAATTCTTGTTACACAATTCTATGCTCTCTAAGCAACTTCCTGGATTACCTTAATAATGGGACATAATGCAGGTGGCTAGCCACCTGAAAAGTACATCATCACTTCGGAAATAGGGAGTTTCAAAATCATCCATATTCAAAATGTTGCAGTCCCAAATAAATACAATGCAAAGTCTCATGTATCTAGGTCAATGACTATGATGTTTCCAGGTCTCCAAGACAGAGCTAAATTATAGGAGATTAAGAATGTTGAAACCCATTAGTGTAAGCTGTGTCTGCTTTTCTGAACAAATATTTTATGCTTCGGTTTTTTTTTTGAGACAGAGTTTCGCTCTGTCACCCACGCTGGAGTGCTGTGGCACAATCTCTGCTCACTGCAACCTCCACCTCCTGAGTTCAAGCAATTCTCTGCCTCAGCCTCCTGAGTAGCTGGGATTACAGGCACCCACCACCACCCCCAACTAATTTTTGTACTTTTAGTAGAGATGGGGTTTCACCATCTTGACCAGGCTGGTCTTGAACTCCTGACATCTACCCGCCTCAGCCTCCCAAATTACAGATGTGAGCCAACATGGGATTACAGATGTGAGCCACCGTGCCCGGCCTATGCTTCAGATTTAAAAGCAAACCTGCGTCTAAAAGACATCAGCATGACTAAACTTTTCTTCCAAAAGTCAGTAACATGAACCCTGGGTCTCAACATCTCTCACAAATTACTTTTTAGAAAGCCTCATGAAAACAGTATATAAATTTGACAAGTGATTTAGCATAATCCAAGAATTTATGGTGCAAGAATCCTTTGATATTCCAAAAAGAAAATATTTAATCAAACCATTAACTTCAAATGTATTTTTTTTTTCCAGGCTGTAGTGCAATGGCACAATCTTGGCTCACCACAACCTCCGCCTTCCAGGTTCAAGCGATTCACCTGCTTCCGCCTCCTAAATAACTGGAATTATAGGTGCATACCACCATGCCTGGATAATTTTTGTATTTTTAGTAGAGACAAGGTTTCTCCATGTTGGTCATGCTGGTCTCAAACTCTTGACCTCAGGTGATACAACCACCTTGGCCTCCCAAAGTGCTGGGATTCCAGGCATGAGCCACCAAGCCCAACCAAATAGATCTTTCAAAAGAACAAAAAAACCAAACCAAGCAAAACAATCAGTTTAAATAAGTAAACCAAATAGATCTTTCAAAAGAACAAAAAAAAACAAACCAAACAAAACAATCAGTTTAAATAAGTAATTATCTATGGTCCAGAAATGATTCACATCTAAACTACTAGCTTAAGGCAGAGTCGCTAATATCCAACTTTTGGTGATAGTAATTTTGAAATCTAGTATGTTTCATTAAGTACTTGTCTACTCAACTAAATTGACAAACCTGCAGATATAACTGCCCTTGATCTGCAAATTAATTCCAGTCTGTCCTAAACTCTGCTACTTTTGAACTTTTCATGCTTTTGAAGCTCTAAAGCTGCATTATCTAACAGTCGCCACTAGCATCATATGGCTTTTTAAGATTAAATAAAATGTAAAATTCAATTCCTTCGTCCAGTCATATTTCAAGTACTCATCTCAAGGGTCACGTATTAGACATCTACAGGCAATTAATGGTATATCTTTTCAGACCAGGTAAAATATGTAACTGTTAGTTATTTATCCACTTTTAATTTTCATGCCAAACCTTACCACTTTAAAACGCTTTTCAAAAGAAAATCTGAATTACGAAAATGGGCTAGCAGGAAAGAAGCATCATGCACATGGTATCCAGACTAAATCCATTCACTTTTGTCTTTATCATTTTCAATCTCTAGGAGAGAGAACAGACTGACTCCTGTCAAAAGGTAACAATTCAGCACAAGCTCTCCACCTTAAGGAGAAGCACTGTGGAGAAAGAAGTTGCTGATTTTGTTCCTTATATACTAATTGTGTGATATTGAACAGGAATTGTATGTGTTGAAAAGATAATGGATATACATCTGATGATAAATATACACTGATGAAAAGATACTGAATATACATCTTTCTCTCAAAAAGCTTATATTCTTGGTGGTAGGGCTGAAGTCAAGTCACATAGTATGCTCAATACTTTGTGGCTAAAAACTGCAAGAACACATACATCTATATAAATCTGTATCAATACAAATTTTCGACAAACTATTTAGCCTAACCCAACAATTTATCATCCAAGAGTCCCTTGACATCCCAGAAAGACTAAATTCAGTCAAACTATTAACTTCAAATATCTTTTCATAAAATGATCACTTCTTTTTTTGAGATGG